ATGGAAAGAAGAGTTACCGGGAGTCTTGCCGGAGGCCAGGATTACAGCGAAAGTGTAGAATTCTTGAGAGCAAGAATTTAGGAGTAAGAAGGTGACTTTGAGTAGTAGAGATTGAATATCGAAGATTGATTGAATAATAATGAGAGTGTAGGCCTTTGTTTTTATAGTGAACCTAAGGGGTTGGAATCCTAGTAGGACGTTGAGTCCTATTTTGGTAGATAATCTCTATCAGGAAAGAAATATGATTTTTTGCCTTTATTAGATTAAGTTTACTACGTTGAGTAAGATTCAAGATCTTAGCAGAAGAGAAAATAGAAAATAAAATGGGATTCTGATTTCCTATTTATAGACTACTGTAAGCTAATGGGTCGAAACTCGGTTTAGCTTAACTTGTGGGATAGCCCAATTCGTAGAGTGGACAGTTCACAAAGTGAATTTAAGCGTAAGCCTAATCAGAATTGGGCTAAGGCTTTGAGCCGTGATATGTTTGTTTTATTACTGGGGCTCGTCAGACCGAAGATGATTTTTTTGCCCATACAATTATAATAATCATGATAATAAGGAAACAAACTCAAAATGATTTTATTCCTTAATAAACCTTACCCACCGATTAATCGTTGAAGCACTTGGTACATGCCTGTGCACGCTCCTCCATACCTACTACTTATACTTCCTTTCTTACTCTTATTCTTCGTACCCTTTCCTAATTTCCTTTTCATTCTCATTCACACACTCCACCATTTCCCTCATAATTTCTTCTTCTTTCTGTTAATTTCCCATTTATTTTCTCAAAAATGGTTAAAGTAGGAGGAGTCTTCGTTTGTCTGTTAATCGTTGCCATGGATGTGGCTGCAGGGATTCTTGGCATCCAAGCCGAAGTTGCACAAGACAAGGTATATTTATACGGTTATCCTGTAAAATGTTCATTAAAGAAAAGGTTATATGTTTATTCGTATGCACTTGTTTTATACAGGTTAACCATATGCGGCTCTGGATATTTGAGTGTAGAAATCCAAGCCATGATGCTTTCATGCTAGGGTTAATTGCAGGAGTACTTCTGGTTTTAGCTCATGTAATTTCTAATTTACTTGGTGGGTGCATGTGCATTTGTTCTCAAGCTTCCCCTTGCAGGCAACTCTCCTTGGCGTGCCTCCTCTTCTCTTGGTATGTCTTTGACATGGACTTGTTTGATTAAGTGATTACTATGAATATGTATTGAATATTTTGTGATTAATATTCATCAGGATCATAGTAGCCGTTGGATTGTCAATGTTGGTGATAGGAACAATGTCAAACAACAAATCAAAAGCTTCCTGTGGGTTCACACACCGTCATTTTCTATCAATTGGAGGGATTCTGTGTTTTGTTCATGGCTTATTCTGTGTTGCATATTATGTTTCGTCTACTGCTGCTACTTAAGATGAAAAGTATGGAGGCCATGCTTAACCTTTATGCTTTAGTCTAGAACCGTTTGTTTGATCATCTTTGGATCTTCGAGCATCTTTGAATCTGTAGTTAACAAGACAATAATGATTAAGAAAGTTAATGAAACAAGCTTATGTAATAAATGAAAAAAATTCCTATTTACCACTATTCTCTCTAAAATTAGTCGGATTTCTATTTTACCTGATCTTCAATCCAATAATGAAAATGGACAGAAAAAAAAAAAGCCCATACTAAATAATTTTTTTATTAAAAGGTATACATTTATCATTAAATAAACCGATATTTAAAAGCTTAATTAAAGTCATATATAAGTACATACCCTGATAATTGTGTTGGTGATTTACGAACCAGAAAAGCAGATTATCATTGACCGGAGCTATCCCAGACATAGTTTTATCTCTAATAGTTCGGAGTAACTCAGGGGCAAATCCATGGCCATTTGGTAAATATGTAAATCCTCTCACTCCACTTGAAGGGTGAAGCTTCTTGGGATTCAACTCAAGAAAATCAGCAACCACAGAGTTGGCTTCGTCACATCCAATCAACATCTGCAATCAAATAACTCTTCTTCTTCTCCCTCATCGTCTCGAAAACGTCCTCGTCTCGACTCCTCCGTCTGTCCCAATCACGTACTCTCACCTCCCGTTCAACCGCAACGTGAGTTGGCTCGTCGGCGTCGACAAAACATCAGCGACAAGGTTCGGTGCTTGCAAAAGCTGATGCCATGCAAGAAGAAAATGGAGACTGCTACCACGCTTGAAGAGGCCTATAAGTATGTTCGATTCTTGCAAACTCAAGTTAACACTCTCCAATCAATGCCACTTGCTCTTCAAAACGAGTTGGATGGGTATCGTTTTGGAGGTCTTGGTGGGTTGGAGATGTTGAACAGGCAGCAACTTTTACAGGTATTGGTTAACTCTCCGGTGGCACAAACCATGCTTTATTCAAAAGGGTTTGTGTTTTGTCTTTGGAGCAGTTGATTTTGACGAACAAACTTGCCCACGCAAAGGTTTTAATGCAGCAGTATCATCAGCAGTAGTTACTGGTTGTGTTTTTGTTTTTTTTTTGTTTTTGGCTTATTAAAGTACGTATGGACATGAAAATGAAATTGATATATTATTGCATATGTGTAGAGTTAGAGAGATATTGCATATGTTACGTTTTACAACAAAGCTATGAACACTGGTATTTTTGCACTGAAAATGTGTACTAGTCTATATGGCTCTTGACTCACACCAGCAATCTAGACGTGTTATTAAATATTTTTCTAATGAACGGCCGTCCATCAAATATGGATAGTCATTCACTTACATGGACTTTCGTCCATATTATATGGACGGGGGTCCATTTACTATGGACGGGCGTCCCCATTTAAAGGATGTCCGTCCATAAGTTAAATTAAATAATTTTTTTTATAAAAATTACTAAATATTGGACGGGCGTTCATATTTTAATGGACGCCCGTCCATTAACAATTCTTTTAAAAAAATTAAAAAACATTTAAGGACAACCGTTCATCTGTTATGGATGACCGTCCATTCATTTTAGATGGATGTTTGCAATAAAGGGCGCCCGTCCTTAACTAAAATATGAAAATTAAAAAAAAAAAAAACTTTGGGGACTCCGGCCGTCCCTTACTTTATTTTGGTTTTACAAAACTAAAGAAAAAATTTGGACGGCCGTCCATAAATCCCAGCTTCCCTTCCATCTTTGGTGCACAATACCACCACAACTTCTCAGAAAATTTTCATGCATGACTTAACTATGGCATCTTACATGCTGCCTATCTATTCACTTTGTCGCGATCATGCAAATCCTCTCGACTGTTGCATATTCGACTTAGATGCCATAAAAAGCATGACTCAGCAATTATAGCATTTTAAGTTGAGAAGGTACACGTAGGCCGGTGTGAGTCAGGGGACACGTAGGCCGGTACACACTTTTGGTGTAAAAATACCGGTATCTGTAGCTTTGTTGTACGTTTTAAGAGTATTTTGAGTGTTAAAAGATGAACAGTAGAGTAAGGAATTTTCAGTTTTTGCTGATGGTTGATTTTGGTTTGATGATGGGGTTTTGCTTAAAATTAATGTAACGCCAGTTTTGGGCACTTGCTCTTGCACGTGCCCATCATTTTCACTAATAAAAACTGCTCCTAAGTTCTCACTTCCCATTTATATACAAATCATAATTCCTGCTTCAATCTCTTTGCCCATCATCCACAGAAATATACCAAAAGGAGAAATCTATGATCTTTGTTCATCTTCTTTTGTACGACATTATGATAAGTCATTAATCTGTCAATTCAAAGCCCAAAGACCTATTTTGGTCCAATTTTGTATCTCTTTGAACATTTAATTTTGATCAAACATAGCAAAACACAGTCGGTGATAACGATTAATACGACTTGTCTTAAATCTATCATAGAGATTGAAGTTTTTGATGCAATTTTGAATGGGATTTTGCACCACCAAACTATTGCCAATTTATTATGATCGGTGTAAGACTAACTAGAGCCCACTTAATACGAGAGTTATACTACAATATAATCAAATTTGGAAGGATTTTGGTCAATTATGCTTCAACAATATTTTATATGCTAGTATTTAAACTTAATAAATAAGTTTTAAAATATGTTGTCAAAGTGATGCAGCAATGCGCCATCGTCAATACCTAAAAGTCTAAAACTATACCCTCCAGCGTGTAGTTGGTGTGAACTTAAATGTGAGAATGTTTGAAAATATGCATGGGATAAGGATACTGATCCACCGAATTTGAGTTTGAAAGGTTTGTCTTTTGATTTCAGATATTGTTGATTTTTGGGTCCACTTGTTTCCTTTCCTAGACTATGTGGATTGGTCTCACTGTGCTCCCATCATTTTCACCAAAGTCTTTGTTTCTCTTGATGCATCTTAGTTTGATTATACACAATCAATTTAATTCAAATTAAAATTCATAATTTAATTGAAATTTCTTCGGATTTCTAATTTGTTTCAAGTTGAAAATCATTGTTTTAAAAATAAAATTTTTTTCTATAGAGAAAAAGACAAAAACCCCAAGAGTTAATGTTATTCAACATTCATTCCCGTATACATCGAATTAAAGCTTCTTTATATGATGTAGAAAGATTACAAAAATAATATTTTGGATATATATATATATATATAAACTTTAAAAAGAAAACTTTGAATGAATTGTATAAATAATTATATATTCAATATTAATAAAAGTATATAATATATAGTTTCAATATATTCTATATAAAGAAATGCAATAATGAAATTAACCAAAAATATAAAAAAATACAATCATCTTAATCACCTAAGTTAATAAAAAATATAAAGAAAAATAATATTATAATAACGAAATATAATATTATAATAAAATTTTATTCCTTAATAAACCTTACCCACCTTGGTAGATGCCTGTGCACGCTCCTCCATGAGCTGGTTTATACCCTACTTTCCTTGCTATCCCATCAAAGGAATCCAAGACCGTGATAGAAGATAAAGTAGACTATCTAAAGCAAATTTAAAGTTTCTACTGTGTTCGACAAAGAAACTTTTACCTACTACTTATACTTCCTTTCTTACTCTTATTCTTCATACCCTTTCCTAATTTCCTTTTCATTCTCATTCACACACTACACCATTTCCTTCATAATTTCTTCTTCTTTCTGTTAATTTCCCATTTATTTTCTCAAAAATGGTTAAAGTAGGAGGAGTCTTCGTTTGTCTGTTAATCGTTGCCATGGATGTGGCTGCAGGGATTCTTGGCATCCAAGCCGAAGTTGCACAAAACAAGGTATATTTATACGGTTATCCTGTAAAATGTTCATTAAAGAAAAGGTTATATGTTTATTCGTATGCACTTGTTTTATACAGGTTAACCATATGCGGCTCTGGATATTTGAGTGTAGAAATCCAAGCCATGATGCTTTCATGCTAGGGTTAATTGCAGGAGTACTTCTGGTTTTAGCTCATGTAATTTCTAATTTACTTGGTGGGTGCATGTGCATTTGTTCTCAAGCTTCCCCTTGCAGGCAACTCTCCTTGGCGTGCCTCCTCTTCTCTTGGTATGTCTTTGACATGGACTTGTTTGATTAAGTGATTACTATGAATATGTATTGAATATTTTGTGATTAATATTCATCAGGATCATAGTAGCCGTTGGATTGTCAATGTTGGTGATAGGAACAATGTCAAACAACAAATCAAAAGCTTCCTGTGGGTTCACACACCATCATTTTCTATCAATTGGAGGGATTCTGTGTTTTGTTCATGGTTTATTCTGTGTTGCATATTATGTTTCTTCTACTGCTGCTACTCAAGATGAAAAGTATGGAGGCCATGCTTAACCTTTATGCTTTAGTCTACAGTGGTAGGACTGTTTTCAACTTTACTAATCAATCGTTTTCTTACTGCCTCATCACTCTTTCAGAAAAATGTAATGTATATTAATTTCCATTTGTCAACTCTACCGTGGTTAATGGCTTTATGTTTTCCCTCTATTCGGCGGAATTTATTAATTTATTTAAATCACTGCTTTTATACATTTAAAATTTGTCAGTATTTCATGGGTCCTTTATCCTTTCATCGTGGCTATATACTACAATATGATTATTAACGGTGCATTTGATTTATTATTTCATACTTTATTCTCGATCCAATTCTCAAAATATTATATTATATTTAGAAATACTATTATATTATATTTAATTATTTTAGGCCGTTTAAATTTATTAATTTAATTAAACACCCTCAGAAAAAAAATTTAAAAATTAACAAAAACACTCCCATTCACCCATAGTTATCAGATTCCGACAATCACCGTAGATGGTAGCTGAAATCTGTCACAACGGCGTACAAACGATCAGAATTTGTTGGTAATTCGTCGATTTGGCTGTCAATGACATCGTCTTTTGCAGTCGTTGACGGTCAGATCTGGTCGTAGATCTAGTATTTTCCAGTCAGATTTGTGGTAGATGGGCCGAAAAAGGCCAGATCGACGCACAACCAGTCAAATCCGATCGATCTGCGTTGTGACGTCAGATTCTGACTAGATTCAGGCGGTGGTGGCCAGAATTTGGCACTGTGGGTGGGTGGGGGTGCTTTTGTCATTTTACAAAAAATTTATATATTAGGGTGTTTAGTTAAATTAGCAAATCTATGAGGTTTTTTTTGTTAATTTTTAAATTTTATCTTGTAATAATCACTCTACTCAACTATCCAATACTATCTCCAAAATTCTATCCAAAATAACAAACCAAACGGACCCTAAATAAGTCTCTGACTATTAGTCAACTAGGATTAGAGATTGAGTCAAGGATTCCACAAATGAATTCATCGTTTAATTAGAGGTATATTTATAAACATAATGATTAAGTTGAAAATAGAGTAATCTATTTGCAATATAACATAGAATTTAATGGTGAATACCGAAATATTATTTTAAGATATCTATAATATTAACATTATTTATCAATCTCTATTTCTTAAATCTATGGGTAAGAGACTAGAAAAGCATACAAGACCATTGTGATGATGATGTGGCTTGAAATTGCCACGGTGGAGTCAGCATCAGTCAAAGAAATCAGATTCAACTTAATCTAAGACGGCGTCGTTTTGGCTATCAAACTTAAGTGCCTTATCTGGCACTCGAAACCCATTCTGTTGCAACGAATTCATAGCTCATCTCTCTTTCTCTTTGGTCCCATTTTAGCCCTAGCTCTTTGTTCATGACAGAAGATTCTAGTGGACATCTTCTCCAACCGATTGCAAATCATACTGGACAGTTGGAGGATGATCAACGGAGTCTTGGTCTATACAAAATCAGACCAATATGTGTGAGATAAAACAGAGAGTTGTGAGAGGGCTTAATCGAGTGTGTTCTTTCTTGTTTTTCTTCTGGTTGTATACTCTCTGTAATCTTGGTTTCCTTGATTAATGAAATACCTTATAGTGTGCCTTGAAAAGTGGATGTAGGCTACCTTTAGCCGAACTACTATAAATCCCCTGTGTCAATTTCTATTTTGTTCTTTCATGCTTTACTTAATCTCTGGAATTGATTGCATGTTCATTGCTAAGATTGTGTTAGCTCATTGATTAATTTGATCAGCATAGTTGAAAACCCTAATTAGTCCCTACTTTTACTTTAGGATCCACTGCAAGACTAGTAAAATAGACTTTGAATGTGGCTTCAGCTAATTGCCCAGAAAATATAAACTATAAAATAAAACTCAAAAGCTAATCCCTCTTGTTTTCTCCCGCAATTGGATTAAGTTGATGGGTTCCTTCTTTTAACTTTCACTGCAAGGCTACAAGGAACTTCTTCTTGTTAAATCGGGATCGGTTTGAGTATCAATGAGATCAAAATATCTTTAGTCACCCCAATTGATGTCCCCATCCCATCTGGCCATCTCCATGCTGGAAGATGCATTGTGAGGTTCTTGCCATGTTTAAGCACATTTTAGCCATGGATTTTGGGACGTTACTTTTAGCATTTCTGTTCTCATTCAGCATTTTCCAAGAGTAGCCTATTAAACCTTTTATCCTCTCTCTTGCTTCCTCTTCTGGTATGCCTTTTTCAATCATATAGCACTGTATAGATTTTGCTACATCTCCTCTCTTAATCTCAGCCTATCAATACAACAAACAAATTAGCAAGAAAAACTAAGAGCGAAAAACTTGTATTAAACTGAGTTTGAAAATTCAGAACGATCACCGGTGAAGTTCCCAGATCATTGCTAAGACAAGTAATGAGTGATGACCAATATATCAGCGCATAGCCACCCTTGAGGCAGTTGAGAGTACTCTTTTTTAAGTCGCCGCCTTGTAATTGCAGTAAATGGGCATGGCCAATTGCTGGTGGACCACCAATTGATGTCCATGCATTTTCCTAGAATTCATCCAGACTCGGCATGTACCCTCTGCTAAACTATCGTGCTTCTACCAAATATGATGTGCAAAGATTTTCCCACTGCAATTTACATATTCCAATTTAGCGCATATAACTTTGGTTATAATCCGAACCATATAATCCTGGTTTAGCTTACATATTATATACCTCTTTCTTAATGTAGGACAGAGTATTTAGACCATGATGCTGTAGGATATGGTATGCTAAGTCATTAGCAAAGTTAAACATGGCAAAATAACAAATTTGCATATAGTATGGAAAGTCCTCTACGGCCTTGATATCCCACCTGATTTAGTGGAAAACAGGAGAAATTTCTGTGAATGGACCAAAAAAAGAATAATATATTTAAGCGAAAATATGGTCTGGATTATCATCTACATAATGAGTACCTTTTCACAGCATCTATAAAGAGTTCAAGCCCATCTAGCGATGCATATATATCAAACATGTCATGAATTGCTGATAATATGCATACAAATTTGGTAAAACCTATCCTGCATTTAGAAAACTGGGTTTCGAAAATGATGCCCATTGTCCATAAATAGTTTTCTATCAATCTGTCCCTTGAAAAGCTTAATTTCTCTTTAAAACCAAATCGCTCCACCACCTGACAAATTAAGCAATTAATTAGTTAACTTCAAATGTCATGTGTAACTCTTCCAAAAAAGTACTTAAGACTAGAGAAACTGACCTAGACAACTCTTTAAGTTCTTGCTGATATATGGATTGTACTAAATTGTAATCCAACTTGGCCAGCTCCAGCAGAACCGAAATATTTTGATCATATATTGAGTAAAAATTGATGAAATTTCGAGCCTCAACCCTTGGCATCCTCCAATGTAAGGGTATTTCTAGAGATTGTTGCACTTGCTCGGCTAGGACCGTTTTCTCCAACTTCCCTAATGAACTGTTTAGACATTTGGTGCTAAAATCTTTGGCTTCCTCTAGAACATCTTCTTCTTGATATCCAAGGAACGAAGCTTCATATAAACTCAAAAGCCCTTCTGTGTCCTCAACTGAGTTGTCAGTTGTTACTGAATCTCCCTTCTTTTTTTCTGAATTTATCAAACACATCTGTTTTAAATGATGACTCAAAAGTCAGGAGTAGAAAACAAATTAAACTAACCAAATGGTATACATGTGCGTACAACATTTCTATGCATTACCTATCCTAATTGGGTGACCATGTTCTCGCAAAAGTCTAAACTGCAGTGCCAGATCCCCAGCAACATCTTGTCTTAGAAGATTAATGGCCTCTTCTATCTCTTCTTCAAAATGGTAAGCCACTCCCAGCCGCTGCATTGAGTCAATCATCCTTAATCTATCGCGAGGTTCTAGGGTGGATGCAAGTAACTCTTTAGCTTCTTGTTTCAACTCCTCTAACTGGTTGGCGCATAACTCATAATGCAATAATATGCATTATAGTTAGTTAATAAATTAAAATTTTGCCAGTATCAAAGCAACTGTGGCTATATGCTTCATGAGTTGCATAGAAATAGAGTTGTGAATAATAAATTGATAAATTGTTATTTAATTGATAAATTGTAGCTTTTAAGCGTCATGGATTACAAAATGCAAACAAAAAAGCACTAAATCTCTCATCCAATTAGGTGAGGCAACACTCATTCCTTCGTCTTGTTTCATATATGAAAATTGCCATAATAAAAAATGTGAATTTGACGAATGATTTTGTATATATATTGTTGTCAACCTAACTGGGCCACGAACACCATCTAATCACTAAAATCGCGTAGGGTAAGGACCATATATTTGTCCTTTATACATATAAAATATATGATAACAATAAACATGTAATTTTAAAGTATTATCATACTCGATTCAAACCTTTACTCAAAATAAGTTAATTGTTTACTAAATCTAAAAAAGATCCGTATAAATATCGTTAATCGTATTTTTACTCCTAAAATAAAATCTATTTTTTTATTAGTTATTATTTTAAATTCATTTTTTTATTGTTTTAAATAACAGAAGAATTATAATCGTTATATTATGATTGATTTCCTTAATTGATTTGTCAATTTATTAATATTTCATGGTGGGACATCAAGTCAATGACTTGATAATTAATTAGATTAATGCTACGCCAACAACTTATTCTTACAAACCTTTCTTATAAACCCGACGTAACAGCTAAGCTAGCACTGCTACGGCAACTCCACCACACCCAAGACACAAAATGTTTTTGACTAAACCAAAGAAAAGATTGTTCTTTCATAAGAAACGGTTGTTCTTTCATAGGGAACGACCGTTCCTTATAAATGAATGACCGTTTCTCACGGAAGGAACGATCGCTCCTTATTGAAGGAACAACCATTCCTTTCATAAGGAATGGCTGTTCCTAAGGGAACAATGTTATTCCTTCAGGAACAAGGTTGTTCCAAGAAGGGAAAGAGAAAAAGGAAGAAGAAGGAACAACCATTCCTTATGAAGGAACGATCGTTTGTTTCTCGTAGTGCCTTGGGTGCTTTGGGTGTGGTGAGAGCTGACGTGACAGTACTAATCAGTTGACACGTTAGGGTTGGAAGAAAATATTGTGAGAATGGGTTGTTGGTATAGCATTACTCAATTAATTAATATCACTCCCTCTATTTATTTATTTATAGCATCATTCGAGTTGAGAATTCCTTCTGCCATACATCATTTTTATATCTTTGCCAAAACAATATTGGGTGCATCGTTTTTTATACATCATTTTCAATTTAAAAAAAAAAATATTAGCTGTGGTTGAGAAATTATTAAAAGAGATATTAAATATGTATTAGTGAGTAATGGATGTAAGTAGACATGATTTGAATCATGAGAAAACATAGTTTTGTCTGATATTAACGTACATATAGAAACATGAGCACTGTGTTGAGGAAAAAGATTCTCATAGCTCAAACGTAAAAATCAAAGCAAGCTGCTAAAAATAAAGCAAACCAAATGCAAGATTTTTAAAGTAACTTGGCCCAATCAATTTAGCCTACGTTCATTATTCACTCAAATAATTCATTAAGCAAAAACTTGCAACTATTTAATTTTTAGACTAGAAAAATTGCAAACTTTTTACACTATTCTAAAAAGCCCAATTTTACTCTTAATAACAACCCACAATGACTATTTTTTTGGTATATTTCTTATACTTTTTGAGATACTTTAAAAGTGCAAACTACTAATATATTTAAAGGGGAGAATCCCCTTACAACTCCCTTTCCTAAGCAATATGAGATTCAAGGCACAATCCCAACAATTCCTCCCTTAACTTGAATTTCCAAACATCATAGTAATATATGAAATCTTACTTGGATAACAGCCTTCTTTTCTTTCACAACGGGAATTGGAACAACTTTGGCTCCGTTTGGTTCACAATTTTGTGTTTTTGAGAAAAGTTTTTTGAAAAAAGTTAAAAAAAAAGTTGAATTGGGCGGGTATTACGATGTAGGATTTACAAATTATAAAATACCCCATATGTTTGTTTTTTTACAAAACACCCCTTATAATAAAACATTAAAAGTTAACAAAAACACCCCCAATCCACCCTCAAATACGGACAGCCGGCCACCACCGCCGGAGGGTGGCCGGAGTCGCCGTAACAAAAACATTAAAAATATTTAGGGGTATTTAATTGAATTAACAAATTTAGGGGATTTAAAAAATATTGAATAAAGTTGAATAATATTGTGAGTTTTTGGGTATTTTACTGTTTAACTTTTTTGGGAATACTAAAAGTAATATTCCCAAAATCCAACCAAACTAAGCCTTTATCTTTTAATTTCTTAACAAACACACATTCATCAAGCTAATATGGTTGTTTTTCATTCCTTTTGCCTTGCAAAATCAGAATATTATCTTTGTACACTTCACACCCATCTCTTTGACCAATGTAGGTATATCCACGAGAAGCTAGCTCGCCCAAAGAAATCAGATTGTGACTACAACTCAGTACATACCTCCCATGACAAAGATTATTGACGACACCATTGTGAAGTTTGAGACGAATGCTACCAATGCCTTCAATCTTCACTTTCTCATTATTACCAACAATAGTATTTCCATAATTTCCATCTTCTTTCAATTCAACAAAACAATCTTTATATTATAAACTTGCATAGATGCAATAGAATCTAAAACCCAACCTTTTGACCACCCATTGAAGTTTGAGTTACATCTTGACATGTTAGTAAAAATTCACCTTCATTATCAACAACACAAGCGTCATTCTTCCATCCATCATTTGAATCCTTTATCTGTTGAACCTTCTTGAAAGCAAACATATCCTCCCTTAATTTCTTGCTGCATGGTTGGATATATCCATTCTCTCCACAATAATAGCACTCTTTATTACTGTAATCTATGATTTTTGCTTTAGATCTCCATCTTGATTCATCACCTCTCTCTTAAGTCCTCCCTCGATTAGAACCTTTTACAACTAGCAGATCTCATCTAAGTGATGAGTTCTCTGATCCCATAAATCTTTCATTCTCACGCAACAAGACAATTACATCATCTAATTTTAAAGTAGATTTGCCTACCAACAAAGTTTGAATTAAAGGTCTATAAAATTTAGACAAAGATGACAACAATATCAACGTCTTTTCTTCATCATTTAACTAATCTAAAATAGCCAATAATTGAGATACTAGCCTATTAAATTCATTTAAATGATCATGGAGACACGTAACTTCATCCATCTTCAAACATAATCTGTTAGTCAACGATTTCAATGCATAAATGCCCTCAAATGTTTCCACAAACCCTTTGGTGTAGACTTAGTCAACACGTTGTACTTTATCGCTAGAGCTAGGGCCAATCTGATTATACTGATAGCTCTTCTCTAATTCTATTCCATTCTCTATCTGTCATTTTTCTTTGGCTTACTCTCTTTTAATACCTGATTAATACCTTGTTGTACCAAAAGGTCTTGTATCGTACTTTGCCATAACATAAAATTAATTTTGCCATCAAATAAAGGAACCTCAAACTTAGATAGACCTCTAGAAAATTGAGATGCCTGACAGTCGCCGATCTACTCTTAAATCCAGCCTCCTCTCGAGCTTGCCTTCTCCCAAATCACGAACTGTGGGCTCCACCAATTGTTGGGAAAAAATATTCCCACAGCTCAGACACAAAAATTAAAGCAAGCAGCCAAAAATAAAGCAAACCAAACGTAAGAATTTTAAAGTGGTTCAACCTAATCAATTTGGTCTACATCCACTATCCAATCAAATAATCTACTAAGCAAAAACTTACGACTGTGTAATTTTTAGAAGAGAAAAATTGTAAACTCCTTATACTATCCCAAAAAGCGCAATTACACCTTTAATTATAGCCCATAATGACTATTCTTTTGTTGTATTTCTTACACTTTTTGAGATGTTTTAAAAGCTCAAACTACTAGTCTATTTAAAGGGGAGAGTCCCCTTGCAACTTGCTTTCCCAAGCAATATGGGATTCAAGGCACAATCCCAACACAATGGTGATAATTAATTGTCATTTGGTGTGACATGAGAATTGAGATAAGGGTAAGATACTTTGTGTGTTTGAACATCAATAAGCTTAATTTAATTCAATAGGACATAATGTTGTAGGATTTCATCGAAGTTTGAGCATAAGATAAGAGTAGATTTTGATGGGTGTATCTCTGTTAAAAAAAGAGCAAATGATATGTTGCCACTCGAGGTTTGGCGAAATCCCAAGTTGGTACCCCTAGTTGCATTTATTCTACATTCACACCCTTAAACTAACACTGTTTCCTTTATTTTAACAGTTGACGGTTAAAATTGTCATTTACCATTTTCATTTTCTACAACAAAGCCAAAAACCATCGCTCTCACCCATTAACACTTCTTCTTTTTCTTCTATCCGTTCTTCTTCTTTTACCACACTCAAAATGTGCCCAAACTCATGATTAAACCTTTTCTTCTTCTTCATTTACCTTTTTCTTTTGACTTTGAGTGGGTATTTTATGGGCATTACTCTTCTTCGTCTTGGCTAAAATGTGCCCAGATTTCTCTACCATTTGAATTGGAGAATATATGGAGGAAATTGGGTTTTAAATATCCAAAAACCACACAATTATATAGCCAAAGGGAATACGTTGTGCCTAAAATCATCCCAAATGCTGCTAATGTGGCTACCAAGCTATTTCTTTGGAAAGCTCCTACTAAGATGGGAAATTCCTTGATAAAGCAGCTAGTACGATGTGAACTCATATTGGCAAAAGTAAAAGAGAAGAAAATGGTAGGGAGATTCGAAATCGTGCTCACTATATTGTTTCATCAAAGTGGTTGTAGTTGCTCATTCTGTATGCAAGAGTACGCAGGATTAAAAACCTATGAACTAACACCCGATTATATGAATGAAATCAGTTGCAAAAGGGGGTTGCACCCATTCAATAACAAGCCCTTTTTGTATGTAATCACCTATTTGTTGAAGAAAATAAAGATATTTTGATTTGAAATATCTTAAGAGAACATCGACCGAACCAACCGAGCTCTTTCTTATAATCAAGCAGGCAAATGCTCACTTTGGCCACAACATGATGGCCTTACACCACAGCTGGGTTTTGGAAAATTGTTGGTTGTTGGATTTTTGTGGGAGATTGAGGACAAATTTTGATTTCTAGTTGATTTTTTGAGGTGTTTGATTATTTTTGCTGTAGATTTTTGGTTTTTTTGGGGTTAATTGATGGACTGAACTTGGTTGGTTTGAAGTTTTCTACGATTGCCCCCTAAGTGTTTGAGAAAAGTCCAAGGAATTTGCTTTTGCTTTTTGAGGTGGCTAGTGAGGGAGAAGGGTTGTGGTGCGATTGGGTTTCACAGATGCAGTGGCGGTGGGGTTGACTTTGGAGTTTACAAAGATTACGATGGTGGTGGATGGGTGGAATGGTGGTGGGTGGTGGCAGTGGTGACTTTGGGGTTTCGAGAGGGAAAGAGAAGCGTGGTTGCTAGTTAGGCAGAGAAATTAGAGGTTGAGGCTATGGTTGAGGGAGGGAGAGAGAAGTCGCGGAAGAGGAGAAGAGGGAGATGCATAATAAGAAGATGGAAGGGCAGTTTGGTAATAGCACTCTTTGTATCTATCTCAGAACCTAATAGTTATTAACAATGTTATTTTAAGGTAAGAATCTAGAATAAATGCAATCAATTTAGTAATACCGTATTTTAAGTCTAACGATGAAATTACAATAAATAAAGATGTTTAATATTAAGTTTAAGTCTACTCCCAATCTCCCCTAACATATTTTTTGTTCAGTTCTCTATCTTTTATTATCCAAGATATGGACCTGGAAAAGTAAAAGAAGGTTACAAGAAAATTACTTATCCTTAACACAATACACAAGTTGTGAAAAGTTTTTATTTTTTTTACATTATTTTATAGGTAACAACCTATAATTTTAGGGGGCGTTTGATTCAGTAAATGTTGTATTACTGGAAATGTTATATTAAGGGGAAGATAGATTACCTTGAAAATTATTGGGAACCTTATATTAAATATGTTTGGTTAGATTGAAATAAATTAGTGAGTATATATTAATTAATATGTTTAATTGAGAAGAATAAAAGAATTCTAGGAGAAGCCTTTTACTGAAATGCCCTTTTTAATAATAATAATAATAATAATAATAATATTATTATTATTATTATTATTATTATTATTATTATTATTATTAAGGGTAAATTGTAACAAAATTAAGATTATTGATAGCGTTTGTTTCATGGCAATAAAAAATAACACCAGTAATTTATCTTTTAATCTGGTAATTACTATGTTTGGGTGTCAAGTAATCAAATATTTCGATAATCAACCAATACCAATAGTGATTATTATAGGTAATATATGGGGTAATTCGATTATCATCTGAAAGGGTATTATTTTTTTATTATTGGGTTAATCAATTGTACATACTAATTTTACCCTTAATTAATAAACATTTTGGATACAAATGCTCTCATATGTCTACTAAATAACAATTTGCCCAAATGTGCGAAATGACTTCTTTAACCTCACATATTAATTGTTTGGATAGAAATACCCTCAGTATTTACATGGATAAAACCCAATATACCCCTAGCCACCCAAGACAACTGCTGCGGTCTACCACCACTGCTGACCACCACTGGCAGTCGTCGAAATGGTGAATGACCGATCGGATTTGGCTGATTGTGCATTGATCTAGTTGTTTTCAGCTAGATTGAAGGCTGAAAATGGCCAAATGGCCATGGATCTGGCCGAAAATGACCAGATCCATGGCTGTAAATGGCCACAAATTTGGTCGTTAATGACTAGAATAGATTTGACCGTTAATGGCTAGAATGGATCTGGATTTTCAGCCAGATCCACAGCCATCTAGTCGTTTTCGACCTTCGATTCTGTCGTAAACGGCCAAATCGGTGCACAATCAGCCAGATTTGTTCAGTCGTGCACTGTTTTGACGAATGTCGGTGACAGCCAGAGTTGGTGGTTGGCGACCGACAATTGTTTTGGATGGTTAGGTGTATTTTGTTAAATTTTAAACTTTTGTTGTTGGCGTGTTTTAGCTAAATTCTTAAATGTAAGGGGTTAAAAAATGTTCTAAATAATAATAATATTATTAACAAAGAAGGGCAATTTAGTAAAAACCCCTCTAATAATATTTTATTCCTCCCAACCAAATATATTAATTGTTTATATTCACCAATCTAACCAAACATATTAGTATAACATTCCCCCAATTCTATTTTTTCAGTGATAAAAAATTCTCCAAAACAAACGCTACCATCAAGTAATCTTAGAATATTTAAGAAATTAGTGGTATTCAGATTACCCCTTATATAATCTACAGTTATTACTATTGGTATTGGAGGATTACTATAATCATTTATTACTTAAGAACCAAACATGGTAATGACAGTAATATAAGATGACATTACTAGAGTAATGAAGGTCACCCCCAACCAAACACACCTTTAAGGGAAAGTATGTAAAACCAAATCGACTAAGGATTATTGAATTTATTTATTTATTTTGTAATTTGACAACTTCTGTTTCACTTTACAGTCATCTAACAAGGGAGGCATATGAAAATTTAGCAAAATCTAAATGAGATTTCTTAGAAGTTTTAAAATATGGGAGGGGAGTATCTAGGTTTTTCAAAAAGCTCACGGGAGGTGGTCTTAAAGGTTCATATGAAGATAAAATGAGACTAAAGAAGTGGTTGTATTATGACTTTCAGAATGGGAATGTTAAGAGAATAAGAGATGGGTAACTTTTTTTTTTTTTTTAAAGTATAATATATTTATAATTAATTTTATTAAAAATTGGAATTTTCAAAAATAATTTGATGGTACTCAAGTAATACTAATATATCTCGTAATGCAGAGTAAGAAATATAGAAAGACAATACAAGGAGTTTAGAGAAGCGAATGATATGTGGCTGAACTTAAAGTCGTTTGTAATAACCCAAGGAGCAGTAACATTAGTAGTGCAAACACAATTGAAACATTATTTACAATGTTCAAAAGTAAATAATGGAGACCATATCTTCCATGGTTGGTGTCAAATTTGTTGGTGTGATTATCGTTTCCATTCAACTTAATAATTGTGATGTTACTTAATTGACAGTGTATGATTGAAATGGGTTCAATTATTATTGATAGGACTGTTTTCTTAGCTCTAGCATCCAGTGCTCCATGTCCATCTCAATTTTAGTATGTGCAACGGGTTATCTGACATGTCCTTCACAAGCGTACGAAATCGTGTTCTTCCAAATTTGTCCAGAACCAACTATGTTGTGGCATGACAACATGTGTGCCGTGGCGAGAAAAGATGTCAAAACTAAGCACGAAATATTCTGAATCTAACAAAGTAATTAACATGTGAATTGTAGCCCTTTAAATAAGCTTTCTAATGATCTATAAATCATCTCAATTTGAGATCTACAGCTTAATTTATCGTCAAAATATCTAAACACTCTTAAAACTAAAGCATATTCCAGGATTTGTATTTTATCTTCAAAACAGGATAACTTCCTCGTTTCAACTCCGATTCTCGAACTGTTTGTTTCCAATTGTCACAAATTTCATCGCCAACATAAATTATTCATCTGAATATTATTTTTAAGCATTTATAACTTGAAAACACTCATAAAATACTCATGATCTCATAAAATACATTTATGAAATAATTAAGTCAAATCACACAATTTGAACATAATTTCTCACAAAATAATACCAATAAACCACTATGTAAATGGGCATTTTCAAGAACTAATCACAACCCCCCAACCAGCTTCTTGCTAGTCTCTAGCAAGCTAAGCGATAATAATTGTCCTTTAGATTAAAAATTAAAACAAAAGCAAACCTAAATTTAAACTAACCTAAATCACTTTCGTAGATTCTCACGGTTTCATTTAACGTATGCAACAAGCCTTTAAATTGCTAAGCAGCCCTAGTTGGACGAGTTTTAGTCTTATGAAGGTTTCAGCAATGATACCCACAAACATCTTCACTAAACCTAACCTAAACTCAAAACAAACAAACAAAAACTTTACTTCTTGGACTAATTTATATATTTATCTCGAAAATTGCAACACATAACAAATAGAATAATTAAAAATCACCTAAGCCTAATGATAACTGAAAAATCAATTCAATTTTTGTTATCTGACTCTCAAAATTTATAGGCAACAACCTATGAATTTATTAAGGGCAAGTATGTAAAACCACATCGACTAAGGATTATTGATATACATATTTTTTTTGTTGTTTGACAACTTCTATTTCACTTTACAGTCATCTAACAGGGGAGGTATCTGAAAATTTGGCAAAATCTAAAGGAGATTTCTTAGAAGTTTTAAAATATGTGAGGGGAGTATCTGGGCTTTCCAAAAGCTCAGGGGAGGTGGTCCATAATAATTATCTTATTTAAATGTTCATATGAAGATAAAATGCAACTAAAGAAGTGGTGGTATTACGAGTTTCAGAATAAAAATGTCAAGAGAATCGGGTAACTTTGAAAAAAAAAAAGTACAATATATTTATAATTAATTTTATTAAAAATTGAAATTTTCAAAATGATTTGATGGTACTCAAATAATACTAATCTCACTCGTACTGCTGAGTAAGAAATATAAAAAGACGATACAAAAAGTTTAGAGTAGCAGATGATATATATGAGGCTGAACTTAAAGTCATTTGTAATAACCAAGGAGATTTAAAATTCTTATCAGTAACATTAGTAGAAACACACTTATTATTACACAGAACTATTTCACATACATGAACCTTGCCTTGATTACATGACATTTGATTAATACATGAAACATTATTTACAATGTTCAAAAGTAAATAATGGAGACCGTATCTGCCATGGTTGGTGTCGAACTTGTGGGTGTGATTATCGTTTCCATTCAACTTATTAATTCTGATATTACTTGTCTTTGTATGATTGAAATGGGTTCAATTATCATTGATATGACTCTTTTCTTAGCTTTAACATCTGGAGCTCCATGTCCATCTCTATTTGGTATGTGCAACGGGTTATCTGACATGTGCTTCGCAAAGGTACGAAATCGTGTTCTTTTAAATTTGTCCAGAAGCAATTATGTCGCGCCATGACGACATGTATGCCGTGGAGAGCAAAGATGTCAAAATTGAGCACAAAATATTCTGAATCTTACAAAGTCATCAACACATGAATTGTAGCCTTTCTAATGGTCCACAAATCATTCCAATTTGGGGTCAACAGCTCAAGTTATTTATTTATTTATATCATCATCAAATTGAGAATTCCTTGTGCAATACATCATTTTTATATCTTTGTTATTTGCCAAAACAACATTGGGCACATCCTTTTTTATGCATCATATTCAATTTCCAAAAAAATATTGGGTGTGGTTGAGAAATTATTAGAAGAGATATTAAATATGTGTTAGTGAGTAATAGAGGTTAGTATTGAAGACATTTAATGAAATAGAGGCAACAACAGGAACAAAATATAACAGTAAAACAAATCAAACAGTAAACAAAGAAAATAATACATGCGATTTACCCTGGTTCACTCAATGTGGGCTACGTCCAGCTGAGTTAATATTATTGCAATATGTCTCACCTCTCTTGTTTACAATTAATGAATTACCTTATGATTTGCTAACCCTTCCGTAACAAGAGAAAAGTATGTTTATATACTAGGTTTAAGAGACTAAGCCTAGTTTTACAAGGATTCATATTCCTAAGCCCAACCTAATAAGGAATTAGTAATTTAGAAGAAATCCTACAGCGGTTATACATGAAAAAGCCCAAAACCAACTACGGGCTCGGGGGCGTTACCCCTGCGACTCCCGTCCGCTAGCGAGACCCCTGAATGCGTCTGCGTTACCTATTAATGCTGAAGTAGTTGACAACCCCAATAGACATGAATCATGAGAAAACATAGTTCTGACATGAACGTATGCATAGAAACATTAGCAATGGTGATAATTAATTGTCATTGGTTGTGATAGTGTGACATGAGAATTGAGATAAGGGTAAGATACTTTGTGTGTTTGAAATTGAACATCAATAAGCTTAATTTAATTGAATAGGACATAATGTTGTAGGATTTCATCAAAGTTTAAGCTTAAGATAAGAGTAGAGTTTGATGGGTATACCTCCGTTAATTAAAACAATTATTTCTTTTAGAATCATATACACTTAAAGATAGTACACGAAACAAGCAAGCAACTTGAGGAAATTAAGGGACTTAAAATCACGAATGCAATTAAATATCCCTTTACTTAATTAAAAGAGTTGGTTTACATAGATGAACTTAGAAAAGAGGTTCTTTCATTTCACGTACTACAGATTCTTCATGGCTAACTTTACAGCGCTATTCATCAGTTGAACTCCACATCCAGCAAAGATTGATTGGAAAATGTGTTCCAAATAACTAACGGAGAATTCGGCAAGCTGCACAAAGTTACTAATTAACTGGATTGTCAACTGCTGAATATTTGATACCGTCCACATTCCTTTTCCCAATTTGAATCTCTGTTCACTGTTTTGCATCCAATGCAAAACCCTCCTTAAACCACCCTTCAAAACATGTCCTCTGTTCTAAAACAAAACCCCACACCATGAACTTGAGAACTCCCTCTATGTCCAAGCTCAACCCACTTCTCTTTCTCCTTCAAATTTCCAAAACACCCTCTCAAGTCCTCCAAATCCACTCCCAACTCATTACCAATAACCTCCTAATCGACCCCTTTGTCTCAAGCCAGTTACTGCTCTATCTAACTTCACCTAGTACACTCAACATGGACCATGCTGAGCTGTTATTCACTCAAACTCATCAACCTAATACTTTCATGCATAACACTATGATCAAAGGCTTTACACAAACCTCAAACCCACGAAAGGCTTTTGATTTTTATGTTAATATGAAAAGAAGAGGGGTTTTAGTTGATAATTACACATACCCATTTGTGCTAAAGGCTTGTGGGGTGTTAATGGGATTGGTGGAGGGGAGAGAGATACATGGAGAGGTAGTGAAGAGAGGATTTTCATGCGATGTTTTTGTGGTGAATGGTTTAATTGGGATGTACTCTAAATGTAAAGCAATGGTTTGTGCTAGAATGGTGTTTGATGAGTATGAGGCTAAGGATTTGATATCTTGGAATTTGATATTGGGTGGATATGTGCAAAGTGGTGAAATGGGGGCAGCGCAGAAGATATTCGATGAAATGCCGGAGAAGGATGTGATTTCATGGTCTATTATGATTGATGGGTATGGGAAGGTCTGCCATTTGATAATAGATAAGATTAGCTAGCTTTTAGTTATTCCATTATTATTTTTATATCGTGAAAAATTAAATCAAACCTCTTCTCATCCATTGTAAAAGGTGAGGATCACTAGATCTTTTATACAACCAAGAAATCTATCCATCTGAATTAGCTGCATATAGGCTTCATTTAGACTTTGAACAGAATGATTCAGAGAAATTTGAAGGGAAAAAGCCTTAGGTTTTTGATAATTATTTTGCTTTTTATGTTTGTAATTTAAAATTAGAATGTCATAACAGTGATAATAAAGTCAGAAATAATGCCACGGAGACCTTTGTATTATTGCAAAACGGCTTTTTGAATTTGCTCCCCATCCCAACCAGCACTCATAAAGTTCTGCCTTGATTTATTAGTATTTTTCTTCCTTCTGGTTGCTTCTTATGGAATTTCGAGTTTTAACAAAGGTTTGCTCTGCTTTGTTTTTTCAGAGAACTGTTGACATTGTTTCTGCACGAGTTCTTTTTGACCGCATGCCCACAAAAGATTTGGTTTCTTGGAACTCTATGATTGATGTGTATGCAAAGGTTGGAGAATTGGTGGCTGCTCGTCAATTATTTGATGAGATGCCGAAGAAAAATGTGATTTCATGGAGCATAATAATAGATGGCTATGCTCAGCAGGGAAATCCTAAGGAAGCCTTGGATCTTTTCAGGCAGATGCTTTGCCAAGGCGTGAGACCTGATTTGGTGTCTGTCATGGGGGCAATATCAGCTTGTGCTCAGCTGGGTGCACTTGATCAGGGCAGATGGATACATATGTACATAAAGAGAACTAGGATCACTATGGACATAGTTGTTGAAACTGCTTTAATAGACATGTATATGAAATGTGGAAGTCTTGATGAGGCTCGCAGGATGTTCTATTGCATGTCAAAAAAGAATGTCATTTCTTATAATGTGATGATTGTTGGACTTGGTATGCATGGTTTTGGAGAGGAAGCTCTAGAATGTTTTGCTCAGATGGAAAGGGAGGGGATTCCTAAGGATGATCTCATCTTCCTTGGTGTTCTAACAGCTTGTAGCCATGCTGGTCTGGTAACTGAAGGATTCGTCATTTTTAACTGTATGCAGGAAGACTATAAAATTGAACCTAAGGTTGAACATTTCAGCTGTTTAATAGATCTTCTCAGCCGGGCAGGACAATTAGAGCAAGCCCTAAGTGTTATAGATTCCATGCCCACGAAACCTAATTCAGCTCTGTGGGGAACTCTTCTCATGGCATGCCGAACTCATCAAAATGTGGCTCTTGCAGAAGTTGTAGTCAAAAGGCTTGTGGAGCTAAAAGCAGATGATTGTGGGGTATATGTACTTCTATCAAATATCTATGCAGATGTAGGAATGTGGGATGATGTTCTTCAGATCCGGGAACTGGTGAGGAACAGAAAGATGAAAAAGGAAACTGGAAGCAGTATAATTGACGTAGACGGAAGTATCAATGAGTTTGTTAGTGGAGAAATCCATCATGTCTGGAGTGAAGAACTAGAATCGGTTATCTGGAGCCTTTTAAAGATGGCCATGTAGAGAGAATCAACTAAATATGTTGAGACTCGAGGTACATGCCCAATTGTGAACAGTTTTAATAATAAAAATTTTATATCTTTGCCATCTTATTACAGTAGTATAAATGAACCTCTTGGAAGTTTGATTTGCATGAAGTTACCTTCTAATGTCAACTTCTTAAACCATTGCAGGCACAACAGCAAATGCATTGAGGGGAAGCCAAAAATTATTATCCACTTATGTCATCATTAAATTGTCGTCAGAATGCAGAAAGACATACAACAACAGAGGCAAGAAAAACAAAGAGGAAGACCAAAAGCTGTGTGTTGAAAGAGCAACAGAGGCAATTTTATTGAGGTAAAAGTTAGTATTTACCTATGCAATTAGCGAGAGCTAGAATCATGTCATCTTGTACAGTTTAAACCACATCTGTTAGAATCCTTCATTCCAGTTTCGAGCTAATTTTCTTTTAAGGAATTAAAGCCTCATCATAGTAGAACCCAGAATATGATGTTTAAATATAATGTTGTTAATGGAAATGATAAAGCTAATTCATACTTCCTTTACTAACTTATCTTAAAAGACATTAGTAACAATAAACAGAAATAGCTGAACAGATAACGAGAGATCAAAATATAACTTTAGAACATTCAGGTCTTATAGTAAGACTATATGTCCCAGCTGCAAAATTCCAAAAATCTCGAAGATTAACTCTCTCCGACTTAAAAAACAACACAAAGATTCAGTTAGCTCAAACCAAACCACAATCCAAAAGCATCAGTTCGATGAATTTAGATGATCCAAAATCAACTGGGTTTCTTCCTGAATTAACTCCAGCTTCTTTACATACAATTCCAACATCTTTTGTTGCCACTTCTTCTTCTTCACTTCTATCTCCTTGGCCTTCTCACTCCAAATCCCACCCATCTTCTCCTTCAACCAACTACTACACATCCCTAAATCAGGCGTCGTGAAATCCGTTCCCAACTTTTTTCCTGCCGCCTTAAATAAACTGGGCATCAAGAATTCACTCTCACTCAACCGCTTTGTATTCATTTTGTTTTTCACTTTACCTTTCACTTCATTGTTGAAAACCATTTTCTTTGCCTTGACATCCTGTTTGGGTAAAGCCAAAACAGTACTAACGCCATCGACTTTCATCTTCTTAATCTTGGACTCTGACCCCATGTCCGTCATTCCTGAGCTTTGGGTAACGATAGGCTTGATGATGAAATCGGAGACGTTAGGTGACGGAGTCGCATCGTTCGAGTAGCCATCAAATAAACCCTCCTCGTCGTTCGATCTATGCTCTGATGTCTCATCCTCATCGTCCCTGGACCTTTTGTGGGCCATTATTAGGTTAAACAGACAGGATTTCAATATAAGATGACTACATTTATAGGTAGGTTTTCCTGTAGGGTTCTTTTTAGATGAGTAATACTACACATACATTATTCTTATATAATATTTTCTATTCAATATTATACGGTAAGATATGATTGGATAAAAATTTAATTTTAAGTTTAAATTAGTCAATCATATCTTGTCTATATGAGAAATATTGTATGAAAATTATGTATGTATAGTATTACTCTTTTTAGATTTGACCCGAGAATTGGTTGTTGACATGGCGTTCATTTATTGGCCCATCTTTTTGTATTTTCAATTAAATTGCTTTGTCAATGATAATAATAATACATTTTTGGACTAACATTTTTGGAAAATAGAAGTGGTTATTAACATGACGTTCATTTATTGGCCCGTCTATTTGTATTTTCAAGATTTGGTTATTTGATTAAATTGTTTTATGGATGATAATAATAATACATTTTTGGAAAATAGTATTTTTGAAAAATAGAATTGGTTGTTGACATGGCGATCATTTATTGGCCCATCTATTTGTATTTTCAAGATTTGGTTATTCGATTAAATTGCTTTGTCAATGATAATAATAATAACATTTTTGGAAAATAGAATTGGTTGTTGACATGGCATTCATTTATTGGCCCGTCTTTTTGTATTTTCAAGATTTGGTTATTCGATTAAATTGCTTTGTCAATGATAATAATGCTCTCAATCTGAATTATGTCACAGTAAATTCAAACTTTACTGTATTAGTTGCATATAATATTTTATTTTCAAGATTGGTAATAATAATTTGATTTTCAACACAAAGCTACGGTGTATATTTCTTATCACCTAATCCACATTGTATACTTCACCAGGGCTTAAATTTCAACGAGGAGAATGCTCTATGTGAAAGTTAAAACTCTCAGGATCAGGAACTCCTAGGTTCAAAGTCAAATATTGAAAACAAAAGTAATGCACCTGCTAAGCATTACCAAATGATTTCTGGAATTTGTGAGAAAGAAAAATAATCCAAAACCACTAATCTTTCTGTACATCAATAGTTACAATAATTGCTTGTTTGAGACATGAAAATAAAGGCTAGGGAATTGAAGGACGTAGCTACATTTGCTAACATGTAGAAAGGAAAACTCTTCTCTATAAGATTAAAGCTTTAAAACCTCCAATTATCTACATATAGCACAAGCATGTGATCATGCAATCATCACAAGTATATCAGAGTTAGATTTTGTCAACCAGAATTTTAGTGAGTGACAAAACAATGGCTGACTTAGAACTTCTTCGACAATGTATCTGATCTCTTCATCGATATGATCTTCAATTGCTCAACAAGGTGACCATAAACCCAACTTCAAGTTTCACATGATGACATGAGCGTGTAAACTTCAGACCTAGAGACATAAGCTTCAGAAAAATTAATTCCAGCAGCTCATAAATAAGTAAAAAGTTTTAGTAAAGATCAAAAAAAAAAAAAAAATGTATTCATCAACTTATATTTACTTCCACTATATATGTTGCAGTTCAATTTAGCTGCAAACCAAAATAAAGAATTACTAAACAGAAAATATACGCAAGTTTACAAAGAGCTTATTCTTTTCGTACAACTTAAACTTGAGAAGGAGCTAAGCTTGTCTGATCCTATGCAATGAAGTTCTTGTATGCAGTTAAATTTCAGTTTACCAATATAGTTGAAATCAAGACAAATTCACCAACTCTACACACACAAATTGCAGTTAAATCCTACCATAATGAATAGGAAAAATTATAAGAAGGAACGTTTAACACTCAAAATGAAGTTATCCTATATAGAGAGTCCACTGACACACACTACTAGCTCCTCCAAGTGATCAAGAAAAGGGAAGTGTATAAGAAGTTTTCTTAAGCCGAGCTTGAGCCTCGAAGTTAAGCAACAAGGAAATTGGGTTGGAGCGAATCCTCTGGGAAACTGGATTGGATTAATATGCTCTTGAAATATCATTACTGATTAGCTATATCTCACTAAAGAGTGCAGTGCATATGATGGAGAGTGGAAAATTTTTATCGTCTAATAACTTCTTCAACTACCCAACAAACTCAAGATCAAAAGTGAAAACATCAATACTAACACCTTCAGAAAGCTTCAAAATAACTCATGAACAGAGTCAATTACATAATATGATCATGTTATGTCAATTATTTCCCTACAAGCCTGATGTAGTCCTACTTCAAGAGTGTCAAGATCGACCTCATGCTCAAAGTACCAGTCTCAATACAATCGAGCTCATAAAGTGTTATTCCAATGTTTTATGGAAGAGGGTGGAGGTAGAGAGGTGTCGGGGAAGAGACCACTTCTGCTTATTTCTGATGCTTTTGCTCGTAACTCATATAGCTGACATTATAAAGGGCGATAATGATAAAATATTCTAACTAAAAATGTAATGTCCATGTGAACTACTTAGAATAGAAGCCATTTTCCCTTGAAGTTGCTGACGAAAAGTGCTTTCCATAAGTTAAAAAGGAAATATCTTCTTTTTACTACAGAAAGAAAATAACAGAAGAGAAAAAAGGATTTGCCTACCATTACAGAATGACAGCGAACAGATGGGCTAGCTTTCATCATCTGAACTGGAAAAATCCATTCGTTGATCTGCAATAGCTGGAAATAGTTTCTGGCGCATATCTGAAAATGGCTGCCGATTTTCTGAGCTAGGTGATGATGTTAGAGTCTCTTTCTTGCATGTCCTCACGGGCTTCGTTGTGTCTTTAACCTCTTTACATGCCTTATCCAACATTATCAAGAAATCACGTACAATCGCAAACAAACGTAACCCCTCATCCTTTCCTGAATTGCCATGAAAATAATCTGCTGTGTTCTTGACAAGATACATTATCCTTTGTTCTTCCTCCAGTAACCATGCAATATCAGCTTCTGCACTCTCTGCAAATTTAGTCAGTTTTTGACAGAACTCACTCTCTTCTTCCATACTTTTCATCTCAGAGTCAAGGAAATTTCTAGCTCTCGTCATCGAATTGCTTAGTTTTGACACTGCAGCTGTTAGGCTATCACCATCTATTACAGCTGCTTTTTTGACGTCTTCAAGTTCAGTGCTTAAACCTGAAACCACCTGAAGGCCAAGGCTGCGATAATTTTCTTCTGAGTCAAGGTTAGGTTCCTCAATAAAATCCTCTGACTTCACACTGGACATGCTTCGGCTTGCTTTCTCTGTACGCACAGCTCTTATGCCTTCAGAACGAATGATCTCCTGAACAACGAAATGTAGGAGTGTGGTCTTGCTGTCAGTTCCTTTTACATCTGATAGTTTCAAGAGTGTGTCAAGCTTAAATGCCTGTGCACCACCTCGGTAGGTACCATCATTCATCCGATTACCAGTTTTGAGCACTGCTTCTAAGAGTTTCAGGAATAGCCTACTACTTCTCAGTTTGTTGCAAGCTACCTGCCATTTTAGATGGGACTTTATTAAATAGTCAGTACTTCTTGCTACTTTTTATTTAAATTTAAAATAAAAATTAAAGGATACTATTTATGAATTTTACTTTCCTAAATCAAATTTTATGAGGCCACCATCTCTTCTGAAACACGACATCTTACCTCGAGAGTAATGAAGGACTCCTTAATCCCAGAGACTTCTTCCTGGTGAGAACTCATAAATATCAACGACTCTAGTCGTTTAAAGGCAAATGGGATATTAATCAAGACTTTGAGGAATCTCTCTGCGGCCCCAAGTTGTGAGACATCGCCTGAGAATAATCTAAGCTTTAGTTCCTCATCTGCGGTTGGTGCCATCTTCAACAAGGATTGGAGAAGTTCCACTGGAAGCTCATTACCTGATCCAAATTTTGAAAACATCAGCTACTGATGGCTTTGATGCTAAACAATTTAGAATAATCTGCGACAACTATAATCAAGCGGATACAAGTCAATAGAATAACTTGAACTCATCCATCAATACATTTTAGATTTCTTTTTAATTTTCAAGTCCGAAACTAAAATGCAACTAATTTCAAACAGTTATGGAAGAAAACAAGAACTCTCCTCATGCTATAACAGGTCAGTGCATAGCACTAATTTTTTAGTTTAGGGGGGAGCTGACCAATGAGTAAGTATTCAGAATTCTTGTCAGCCGATGCCACATGTTGCCCATGGAAGAATGGCAATTTAGAATGTCTAGATGCAAAATATCGAGATTTTCAGTAAAGTATGCCATCAAATTAGAGTTCTTCCTTTATGAACATTTAAAACAATGTGTCTGATGAACTCTAATCATATGATGTGTCCTATCATTTTGAAAAAATTTCAAGGAGATAGAAAGACCTTCTTGTAGAGCATCAACAACTTCCTCTGTTGTCAAATTCAGTGCTCGCAGTATGATGGATAAATTTTGTGCTTTTCTAGTGTCAATAATCCTAATGAACTGGTCTGTAGATTCGGAAGACATGGAGCGGTTTCTGCCTTCAGATTTGTTTTTATCCCCGGTATAACCGAATAAAGACTCTATCATCTCCTCATTGAACCTGTGACAGAACATCACATAATTTGGAATTTAAAGGGAAGATTTGGCATATTGTTTTCATGAGAAAAAAGAAAAAAGAAATGAAAGTTTCAAGGTAGACTTATAGTCTTACTGGAATGAACCAGCATTGATCTCATGCCAGACCATTGCGTGATCAGGGCTGGCAAGAACCTTATCCCAAAAAAATGGTTTTAGCTTGGTTTTTGCAGCTCCAGATTGGTTCAGTTCGAGTGGGGGGAGTGAGGCACGAACCGCTACTCCAGCAAGAGGTGAAGGTTGCTTTTTACCAGGGATTGGTTTTGGTGGTGGAACAGGTACTTTTGGAGGAGGTGGTGGTGGAGCTTTAGGACGAGGACGAGGGCAAGGAGGAGGTGGTGGTGGTCCAGGAGTTGGAGGTGGAGGAGGCGATTTTTTATCAAGCCCTGCAGCAGCTTCTGATGATGGAGCTTCAGAAGGACATGATTTATTATTATCAGCATTCATGGACGAAGTTCTTACGGCGAAAGAATTATTTCCTCTACCATTAGTAGGTTGTTTGTCACCCGGACCTCCCAAATTCATAGACTTCTGTGAGGAACCTGAAGTTTAAATTTCAAAAATATTGTTAAGACTTGCTTGGGAAAATGAAGATAATTTTGTGTCAATGAGAAAACAGAACCGATAAATGCATACCAGCAGATGAGCTTAAGTTGAGAAGAGGCCTATCATCTTTCTGTCCATCTCCAGGACCAATTTGGTTTTGGCGATTTGTGAAACAAAAGAAGAAAATCAGAGCAACAAGAGCAAATGTTGTCACTGCAGTTGTAGCAATAGCAGTAATGATTTCCATCTGTCTGCTGCCATGATCATGGTCCTTTTCGGGTTGATTTGCAACTGGAGGAGAATGTTTTCCGGCTGCAGGTTGGGGAGCAGTAGGAGAATGTTTTCCAGCGGCAGGTTGAAGACCAGGTGGAGAATGTTTTCCAAGTGCAGGTTGAGGACTACGAGAAGGACGTTTACTTGCTGCAGGCGCTGGTGGATGAAACATAGACCTCAAATTTCCAAATAGAGAACTTGCAGGCGCTGGACCTGGACTTATTGTCTTGGGTTCAGTCTCGGGGGCAGCGGCTGGAGCAAAAACAGGTGCTCGTAATTTTGCTTTCTGCCGAGGTTGCTCACTAATCAGGTTTCTTCTAGGAGCACTTGGCAAACTGAAACTGAATAGCAACTTAATATGCTTGAGGAACCAATGCTCAAAGCTACCCTCCTTGACAGAAACATGATAAAGAAGATTCTCCCTTCTTATGCAATCCGAAAGTGTTTGCTTCATTTGGGGAGGCAGAAGATTGATGTCTTTATGAATATACCCTTTTGTCAACACTGTTGATTTCAAGTCTATGGTTCCTTCCGGTGGGAAATATATTCCAAAATCCTCAAAAGCATTTATCCTTATTAATTCTTTCCTGCAATGAATCCATATCCGCTCTGCCTGTAATTAAAATGTTAATCAAAATTTCGTAATTTAGTGTTATAACATAGAATTGAACTAACTTGTAAGTGTCTCATATAACTATTCTAAAAAGTTTTCCCTTTTTCCCCCAACTACTGCTGCTGCTGTTGTTCTTTTCTCAGTCCTCATGGTCATTTCCGGTTACTAGAATCTCATGCTTTTAAATTGTCTTTTATAATTAGTTATTATCTTATGGGAGGTGAAAAGGGTTTTAATTAATAGATTAAAACCATGTATAACTATTTATATACAACAGCAAAGTCTCTCACTGAATTTAAATCTTCATAGCTGCTTAATCAGTGCAGAAATAGAGGCAATTTGATATTTTCAATTTACAAATTGAAACAATAATTTAATATTCTCCTAGATTCGGGGGTAGGTATAATTAATGTCTTCCTAAAGATTGCTTGTCTAAGCAGTGAAAGAAGAGTTTCACATTAATACACAAAAAGTATGAGAACAATCCGAAAACTTCCACCAAAATATACAGTCCTCGTTGCCTTAGTGGCTCAATCGGTTAGTCTTAAAAAAGAATTTCATTCATCTTAGACTTAGAAATTTCCTCTCGATTGGATAGAATTCGCGCTTTTCTCTTAAACTTGTGTACGAATTCCCAAAAGGAAGAGTTGCAACACAACGTCAATATCAAACTAACCAGCTTTGGAAGACATAATGTTCTAATTACAACCATAAACAAGAAATCAATTAAGGCAAGAGAGACAAATTTCGCGTACCATTTGTTCATCTAGCTGAGGAGATTTCCATCCACCTTCGTTGTCAAGATTAGAAGTTTGTGGTACCCTCTTCCTACATTCGATACACTCTATGGCCAATGCGCAAATGATAACCAAAAGAACTACGCCATAATCAGTTCTCAATTCCATTGCCATTACTTTCACTTACATTTTTTCTCATTTCATCGGATACCACAAAAACTTCACAAATATATTTATACAAACAAAACACAACGCGATCGGTCGCTCGCTCTTAGCCTCCGACACAATGCCAAGAAAACAAAACAAAAAAAAACACAATAATAACGCACGTACGTATGTGAATCGATCAATCTTTAGAAATAATAACAAAAGCTGAACAATGTACGTACGTACGAGATTACGATCAACAGAAGAAAAGCTGGAAATGAAACCCAGAAGGCAGCAAGAGTAATGTTGAAAAGATTTGTGATCATTCAAATTTTTCTTGTTTTGCGGGAGAAGACAGAAGAGAGAAATGACGTACGTGAACGTGAGGAGAACAATGTGGGACACCCATGGTAGCCCAGTTTCTTTTCCCTTTTACCTTCTTATTTTATATCTCCCTATTTTTATTTATCCATCTTATTACAAGTCAATCAATAAAATAATATCTTTTAAAAAAACTATATATAGGTCTATCATACAAGTATTCTTACATGTACAATTGCTATTTTATTATGGTATGCTTTAATTTAATTTTATTTTTTTTATGGTGGTTTGACTTGTGTTAAATGAAATGATTTTAATATGGTGAAATTATTTTCAACATGGTAATAACCTCACTATTAAATGAATTGAATTCAAATATTTTTTAATAAAATTTATTAATATTGTTTAAAAAAGTATAAGAGAATGAAATTGTAGTGGGGCAGGCATGTGTAAAAGCAGCCTTGAATATAGGCCATTTGTAAATTGAAAATAAAACAGCATTGAAATTAGAGGATGATAATGTTATATATTTTAAGCATTAGATAATTAGTCTACAATAAATTTATCTGCCTTTTATTTTCTATGGGTGTGGTGCTTTACCTCAAAATCCATGGACTTATTTGAGGAAATTTTTTGCATCTTTTCCCCTTTTGGATCATTTCATTCTCATGCTTCATCTTCAGGCAACCATATGCTTGAGCTAATTGTAGCAGAGAAATCCGATCTGTTTTGAAATTTACATTGTAAACCATATTCAAATAAACTTCCAACATCAACATATTACATATTTAACCAAAGCTACTAAACTGGTTGACAGTAAAATCGAAGCTCAAGCCCCTGAAATGTGTAACCTTCAGTCAAAGGTCAACATTGGGTGGGATCCCATTCCCCACTTTCAAGAATCCACTGCCTCTGCTCTGCTCTTTCAATAATTCAATGCTAAGGTGGGTGAGTTTGTTTCTTCAGGGCTATTTATCGATGGATTCCTACAAAACATAATTGCAAAACTTAATACCCCAAATTTAAACAAGGGTAAAAAGCCTCGCCAATTAACCAATCTAATCAAAATTGATTACCTCTTTCTTTTACAACCCGCAGAGTCTTCAGTTGAAAATTTTGTACTCATGATGTCCACAGCTTGTAGCTATGGGTTTAAAAAATAAAAACCAGATAATGCATTAATGTTCATATGACAAAGAACAGTTAATATTTTAAATCAGAGAGTTTTTTTTTTTTTTTTTAAATTACACCGGTTCTGTTACCTCGTTAATCTCCTGAATTGTGGATTCACTCACTTTAACAAGTAACTGTTCCTGTTCAAAACACAAAGATAGATAGATTATTACTGATTTTCAGAGTCATAGGGATCAAACTAAATAATGTAAATGAAACTTTAGGGTGCAAAAGATAACTCACTTTCAGCTTTTCTACACGTTGAATAGCACCATCAAGGTGTTGCTGACACATATTAGCTTCACCAATTGTGTTGATGTTCTCCACCTTGGGTTGGTAAAAGCTGTTTTTCATTTTTTTTTTTTTAAAATATTTGAGTAGGACGAATAAAATTAATATAAACAACATCAAGTTTTCGGAGATTCATCTCAAATTGTATCTGAAACATAACCTCACTGATTACTGATTATTCACAATCTAAGACCTAAATTAATCATGTAGAATATAACTGGGAGAAGGTAATGGACAGAAAATACAGTATGACCTCATCTTTTCCTCTGCCTCATCGTGCTGCTTATTGAGCTCAAGAAGTTTTCTCTCAAGTGCCTTGGAACCCAGAAAGAGATGAAAATCAATCACTAAATTTGGTAGATTTCTATATAAGTAGTGTCTTTTAAGCATGTGATTAAAGGTTACCTCCTTCCTGAGCTTGTCATGCCATCATCAATGAGTGAATTATTCAAAGAACAATCAAACAAATAATTATCATCAGAAAATAATTTAAAAACACATTTGAATCTGTGTGCATCAAGAAAAACTACAGTTGAGAGGAGATAGACGAAATCAAACTTTGCTATCATTTCCAGCATTTCTTCTTCATATTTTGAATGCTTGAGGCTTCGACACAAACGCTGAGACAAAAAAAATATATTACACAGCTAGTAAATTAAACACATAAAATAGAAACACAGAGAGAGAAACAGAGACTAATTACCTCTTCATTTTCAACCGATCTTCAATAGCATTTAGATAATAATAGCCAACATTACAGCCAAAACAAACTTGTAAGTAACCCATCATGTATAACTCTGGATCAAAAAGAATTGACTAAGAACATTATAAACCCACACCCTTGATATTCATCATGTTGGTCAATATAGCGAAGAAACATATCCTCAATACTACAAAAGCCACAGAAAAATATAAAAAAAAAAAAAAACAGAGAGAAAAGATCAGAAGATGAAATATAGAAAAATAAAATACAAGACGAAGACCATGAAAGAGAGAACATAAATTCTGGGATTGTGAATTTAAGACAAAGTATAAAGTATGAACCTTCCACAGCTAGAAAACTTAGTCAATCTACCAGTGGGAGAAAACATTAGAAGACCAACATCTGCATCACATAATACAGGTAGTTCATTGGCCTTCTTTAAAATCCCATCTCTGCGCTTCGTATATGTTGTTTGGAGAGTGACAGTACTAGCAATTTTCTTAATTGGGATCTCTCTACGACCCATGGTGGATACAAGTTAGAGCACAAAGTGATGAAGGGGGATGCAATGGAGTAATCTTATTTGATAAAAAGGTGAGGATGCATTTAATTTTCAGGCTTTGTGATGAGGGTAGAAAGCCAATTGTCCAAAATTCATCATCCATCATCACTAGAGGATTCTTTAGCCAGTTGACTGTAAAAAAAAAAAATGTGAAACTTATATTCAAAAACACTTTATACATAAATAAAATTAATTACGACAAACTAAAAATATCCAGGCGGACAGGTTTGACACATCTGCAGAAGAGGGGCCACTGAAGGGGATGCGTTTTGTTGATAATCGGACTAATATGATTTGGAGACAAAAAAAAAAAAAAAGAGCTAAAGGGCATAATTTCATAAAAAACTTATGTCATATTAAGTAAGCAATGATCAATTGCCAAAGAAAATATTATACAAGTTCATTTGGATTTCTGGCTTAGATACACTGGTTATCATATTATTGAAAACTATTTATTATGTTTTCCGTAGTTGTGTTTTTACATTTACAGATGAAAGTTAAAACTTTTCTAACATATGCTAGAAATACCATTTAAAATTACCAAGCTTTGAAATACCGCAGTCTGGACTGGATCGATTATTCGATTTACCATTTACGAGTTAAACTGAAGTAAAGTAAGTCATTTGCTCTCTAAAAGATAATGTACATTCGTAGCATCAACGCTAAGTAAAAATATTAATAATACTTTATACTCACTTGCCCTACCAAGGTGGGGATGTAGCTCAGATGGTAGAGCGCTCGCTTAGCATGCGAGAGGTACGGGGATCGATACCCCGCATCTCCATTTTTCAAGATATTATTTTTATGTATTAAGACAAATTAACCAATAAATTCTCAACTATTTAAATATTATTTATTTCCCAACTAAATATTTATTTTCACCAGATTTTAAATACAGTGTTATCTTTTATGTAGTAAGACTAATTAACCAATAAAATTTCCCTACTAGATAATTTTTTTCACCACTTTTTAGAGACTATTTTTTTATATAATAAAACTAATTAACCGATAAAATTTCCCAACTAAATATTTTTTTTTTTTCAAAAAATACATACATATTCATTAACTGATATCTTATTTAGTTACAATCATTGTGAGGTGATGAAATCTCAAATGGCATAGTTTAAAGACATGTGGTTGATCTAGAATGGCGTCAAGTAGTATGAGCTCATATATATCATCTAATAGTTCATTTAATTTACAATAGATTTTGGGGTGATAAAATATCAACCGGTATACTTCAAGAACAATGGAAAAGCTTTAATGACGTTTAAGTATTATGATATCATTTTCATAAGAGTAAAAGATATATTCCCACCCAAGGTCTGACGAAATCCTAAGTTAGCACCCCAAGTTCCATTTATTCCAGATTCTCACTCTTAAAGTAACGGAAAATGGTTAGATATAATGGCTCAGGGGTAAAGTGGTCATTTCACAGAGGAGGCGCACATTAGCAGATCGCTGTCCCTAACAAAGCTCCGGCGCATGTTAGCCAACATCGCTGCCGACGTTTTTCGCCCTTTTCCGGTGATTCTTCCATCCAAAATCACCATTGTCACCACCATTCGAACCCTCATCCTCCCCTCTACAAAACCTTACCCTTCACAACCCTTCATCACTCGCCAATTGCCAGCCACAACAGCCGTCACATGCGATTGGTTTTCGTCGGTCTCCACCAGCGAATGGCCACTAAATGGTTGCTGGGGACATAGGGGTTTTGTACATTTGGAGACGCTGGTTGCATTGGTGACGTCCAATTGGATTTTTGTCGCCGGAATTGATCGGAATCTAGCGAAGAACGACAAAAACCTAAGCTTGACGGCGCCGGCGATGGGACGGCCCAATGGGTTGGGAACTAGTGGGGTTTTGGACGACGGACAATGTTGAAGGTGATGGAGGTGACCAGAGGGTTCGCCGCCATCGAAAACACCCCATATCCGGTGAAAACCTAGACGGTGCGCAGTCACTGAGGGTGTAATTGAAGTAATTTCAAAATAAGATGGTTAATTTTATAATTTTAGTAATTTAGGGGTTAAAACATAATTTATTAATTTAGGGTTAAAGGCATTATGGTAATTACACCCTCACTACCCTAAAAATTGTTAACAGTGTTATTTTAAGGATGTGAATCTAGATTAAATGGAACTTGGGGTACCAACTTGGGATTTCATCAAACCTTGGGTGGGAATATGTCGTTTACTCTCTTCATAATTCAAAAGCTTATTGACATCATATTTATCATTTAATAGTTCATTTAATTTATAATAGACTTGGGGATGATAAAATATCAATCGGTATACTTTAAGACGCATTTAAATTGGAGCGAGAAAATGAAGCAAGACAAAGATTTGAAGTCAAGGAAGACAGAGATATGGAGAAAAATTGACTCCCCGGCCATCCCAAGTTTCAATTTAACAAAATGGCCTTGAAAATGTTTTTCATTTTTTTTTTTAAATTTGGAGAAGCTGACGTGGCACGGTTAGGATTCAATAAACATGTAAAATGGGTTAAAATGAAAGGATTAAAACATATGTGGAAAAAATCATAATCAATGAAAGTTTTTTAAAATTTGAAATTTAAAAGTTCGCCCCACCCATTCAAATCGCTTAATCGAAACTTATTAGGGCAAAAATCGATTTCTTGAACCCAAACAGAGACTGTGCGATTTTCCATCCAAACTCCAAATTTTCACACCATATTCAATCCTAAATTGTTGAACCTTAAACGGAATACAGTCGTGATTTTCGATCGAAACTGCAAATTTTCACACCAAATTCAATCCTAAAATCGATTTCTTAAACCCTAAACGGAATCTCTGCGATTTCTGGCGATACAGTCCAGATTTCTGATCGAAACTGCAAATTTTCACACCAAATTCAATCATAAACCATGGCTGACATTCACAATGAGGACGAAAACCCAACACCACTTGGAATCCTAGAGTCCGGTGACACAAGCAGTTCAATAGCTACTCCGGTGGATCATCCAATCAGTGAAAGTGGTCCATAGGCAGAGGAGACGACGGCGGCATAACAACAGAGAGAAGAATCGCAAAATGGTTTTGCAAAGGAGGAGGCCAGTGAGAATTCAGGCGAGGAGGAGGAGGAGGAGTCCGGCGAAGAGGAGGAGGTCGGAGAGAATGCAGGCGACAAGGAGGCCAGCAAAGAAAGGGTACGTATTTGTTTTGGGAGTATTGTTGTGTACTATCGCTTAAACGATTCATCGCTTTTAATCATGGTGCTTAAGCAATCTTGTCCGAGGCAGAATCAACATCTGCCCAGCTCTAAGATCGCTTAAGCGATTCATCTCTTTTACTCATGGTCGCTTAAGCGATTCTAGATCGCTTAAGCGATTTTGTCCGAGGCAGAATCAACATCTGCCCAGATCTAAGATCGCTTAAGCTATCTTTCGTATCGCTTAAGCGATTCATTTAGTTTACTCTTGGTTGCTTAAGCGATCTGAAATCGCTTAAGCGGCCACAGAGGTAATTTTTTATTGCTGATATGTTGTTTATTAGTTGTTTTGGTTTATTTTTGTTGGTGATATTTTGTTTATATCAATTGTGTAGATTGTGCGGACCGTAAACTATAAAGAGTTCTGGTTGGACATTGTAAGCGAGAAGATACCGTACATCCCTATAAGGGTGATGGTCAGGTCGAGTTGGGATGTTTTTGAGAGAATAAAAGGGATTTTAGATGGATTGAGGAATGGTCAACGACGATTCAAAGAGACTTGTTTCGGTCAGTTTTTGAAAATCGGAACAAATTGGAAAAAGGCATTCTGGGGGCAGGGAGTGCATTATATGTTGCTGCACTCAGTAAAATGCAAAAAAAAGCAAGAAATGTGGTTCGTGGTGGATGGAAAGCCACTACGTTTGGGGATGATGGAATATGCGTTGGTGATCGGCTTAGGATGTGGGAAAATGCCAGATAAAGATTGTAAAACCCCTCCCTAGCCGGGTATTTCCTAAGTATCCATTGGCCATTGAGAACCTAGAAAACGCACGCTTAGGAAAGAAGTTTATTTTAAAATCTTATTTAAAGAATAGACCTGTAGTTTAAAAATATATTTTTAATTTAATTTCTAAACTATAATAAGTTCATTGTACAAGTCAAAAATATAGTTTCCTTTCTTGGAGTAAATTATGAAATCCATAGTAATACTTACTAGAACATACACACTTTTACAAAATTTACTAGCAATTTGATTTCCTTTATTAATACAACATATTTACTCCATTATAGAACATGGACATATTTACTGCATTACGAAATATGAACTTAATTACTACACTAAATATTAGCAAAACCATTCAATAGTCATCATTAAAACATCCTTTCATGCTCATAGCGTCCCTCGGAATCCTCTTCCAGCTTCATGCCTTAATCCTTACCTGCAAAACATTTTAAAACATTTTGTGGGGTGAGCGGTAATCACTCAGTAAGGAATATGGCCGTTTATAAACTATTATGGTTCATTATACAAGTATATATTACTTAGGACCTTACCTACCTACAAAACATTACCTTCATTCTTTGACATAACAAGTTCATAAAACATATCATACACTTTGGACTTTTCTCATAAACATAAGTCATAACATAACCATACATAATATAACATAGAACATATATGACTTATGAAATATTCATGTACATGGCATGCTTATTTCTTTTGTCTTTATACTTGATGGTTTCATTAGTCTTTGTTATCCGATCGGATTCATTTAAACCATTACCTTGTTCTTGGTCGTCACCTCAAAGGACTCATGGTTTCCATAAGAATTCCATTCCTCTGATCTTGGTTTATACCTCAAGAGACTCATGGAATTCATTCTTTAACATTTCATAAATTTTTCATAAGACAACTAAATAAGCTATATGCATTACCATTATGAATGCAAACATATGGACTAACATATTCCATGCTCAATCATACTATATTCTCCTACTAAACTTCTTAACTTAATTCATTCAATTTCTCATACAATACAAAGAATTTCAGTAGTAAGATTATTCAGGGGTTTATTAGAATTAGAAACAAATGGGAATTTCCATTAAGAAGGTGGATGCCATACAGTTCGTTACTTTTCAAGCAATTTTTACCTTA